GCATGGTAATGTTAGTAGTGTGATCCTGTTAGCAACATGATCCTGTTATCAGCATGGTAATGTTAGTAGTGTGATCCTGTTAGCAACATGATCCTGTTAGCAGCATGGTACTGTTAATAGTGTAGTTTTGTTAGCAGTATGGTCCTGTTAGTAGAGTGGTACTGTTAGTAGCATGGTGTTGTTAGCAATGTGGTTCTGTTAGCAGGGTGGTCTTGTTTGCGGTGTGGGCCTGTTAGGAGTGTGGTCCTATTAGCAATTTGCTTCCATTAACAGTATGGTCCTGTTAGCATTGTGGTTTTGTTAGCAGTATGGTCTTGTTCACAAAGTGGTTCTGTTAGCAGCATGGTCTTGTTTGTAGCGTGGTCCTGTTAGCAACATGATCCTATTAGCAACACGGTACTGTTAAGAGTGCAGTTCTGTTATCAGTGTGGTCCTGTTATCAGTGTGGTCCTGTTAGCAGCTTGGTACTGCTAGCAATGTGGTTCTGTTAGTAACGTGGTCTTGTTTGCAGTGTGGTCCTGTTAGCAGAGTGGTCCTGTTAGCAAAGTGGTTCTGTTAGCAGCACGGTCTTGTTTGCAGCATGGTCCTGTTGGCATCATGATCCTGTTAGAAACATGATCCTGTTAGCAGCACGGTACTGTTAACATCATGGTTCTGTTAGCAGCATAGTCCTGTTAGCAACATGATTCTGTTATCAGCATGATAATGTTAGCAGTGTGGTCCTGTTAGCAACGCGATCCTGTTATCAGCATGGTAATGTTAGTAGTGGGATCCTGTTAGCAACATGATCCTGTTAGCAGCATGGTACTGTTAACATCATGGTCCTGTTAGCAGCGTGGTCCTGTTAGCACCATGATTCTGTTACCAGCATGGTAATATTAGCAGTGTGGTCCTGTTAGCAATGTGATTCTGTTATCAGCATGGTACTGTTAACAGCATGGTCCTGTTAGCAGTGTGGTCCTGTTAGCAACATGATCCTGTTATCAGCATGGTAATATTAGCAGTGTGGTCCTGTTAGCAATGTGATTCTGTTATCAGCATGGTAATGTTAGCAGTGTGGTCCTGTTAGCAACATGATCCTGCTATCAGCATGGTAATATTAGCAGTGTGGTCCTGTTAGCAATGTGATCCTGTTATCAGCATGGTACTGTTAACAGCATGGTCCTGTTAGCAGTGTGGTCCTGTTAGCAACGTGATTCTGTTATCAGCATGGTAATGTTAGCAGTGTGGTTCTGTTTACAGTGTGGTCCTGTTAGCAGCATGATTGTGGTATCAATACTGGTCCGGTCCTCATGCCACCGGTACTGTTGGTGGATACAAATGTTTTTATCTGTAGCAACAGTTTTGAACAAGCTGCAGTTGAGAGGTCTTGAAACAGATTTATGAGCAGAAACAACATTGTTGTTGTTGCAGTTTTTATGTTTATAAAAACGATTTTATAAAGTTTTACAGGTGTTTGCTGGTTGAATGTGAGGGCTTGACTACTTATGATAATTTATTGTCAAATGTGATGAACAATGGTGATGGCCACTGAAGTACATTTAGTCTCAAAATATGATGCAAATGATTTAACCCTCCAATCCCTAACGAAGTACAATATGTCTGAGCATCAGTAGAAGGTCACTTTAGATTAGAAGCAGTCTGAAAGAAAAAAGAATCTTGGTTCCAACAAGTCTCCAAATAGGTCTGCTCAAAAAATTACGTTTTTTCTGTCTTTATTTATTTATTTTTGTGCCGGGGGGG